CAGGAACTTGTTTTAAGTAAATATATCCTTAATATTGATGTAAAAAAAAAACTGTTCCTTTGGCAAATTATTTTACTTACATGGGAAAAATGTCTTGAATTAAATAAATACAGTAACATTTTAACAATATTAAGGTCTTATTTCTTGCTGAAAAGTTACTTATAAGTCAGTTTTGTCTTATTTCAAGTGTCCTAAAACGTTTGGAGTACTACTTGGTGAGAGTTTGTGTTTTTTACAGTGTAAACATGCAAACAGAAAATAAATGATGTTCTTAATGGTCTGAAAAATAAATCTGAAGGAGATGGAACTACAGAAAGAATCACTAAATATTTAAATCACCAGATTAAAGAAATCTCTTACATGGGCATTTTGAAGTTTGCAGACGTAAAGTGTTGAGTTTACCTTCTGGGAACAGGCTGGAGCTGTACTGGATCAGCGGCTCGATGACCATCACCACCTGGACCGAAGACGCTGCAGCCATGTCGAACAGAGCGGCTTCCCTGAACAAACAACCGCCCAACATGAAACATAAACCGGTCCCACTCCGGCCTTCAATGCACGTAAATAAGTTTTCTGACATATAAAGAGTCTGAAGCTTGTTGGTTAGAAACGGTGAATTGATCCCATTTGCTGCCAAACTAACAGCAGGAAACGTTTGAGCTCTGTGGAGCAAACGGATTTAATCTGAACCATGAAAATACCTCAGGAACAAGTAGCATCTTGTTTCCTGTCGTTGCTATCGATGTCAGTAGAAAACGTCCCTGATGATTAAACAAATCAGAAACTAGATGTGAAATCATCCATAAGCTCAAAATATTAATGACTATAAGCCGATTCATTTTTCCCTCCATGTTTAGCCCAAACATCTGTCTCTGAGCTAGCTAAATATTGGGCTAATATGCAAATTCACCTGCCAAACAGCAGAAGTGGACTATCAAAATAAAAGCTGGGTCTTGAGAACTTCTATATAAATCACTGTTGCTGTAGATTATTGGTGAAAGTCTGTTTTAAACGGCTCATTTGTTTAAAGAACTAAGGTGAAAAGGTGACATGAAGCGATTTTATAAATGTTATTACACCTTCAAGGTGTTAAAACGTGTAATAACGTTTAACGCCTAAAGTTAAACACGGATTCTCCCCAGCGCTGCTCTGTTTGCCTGCTGGTCTCCCTCTGGGTTTGACCTTTCTGGGGAGGTCACCACAGAAACGGGCCGTGCTACGCACCCTTCAGCGCGCGGCCACAGCAGGTTGGGGCCCAGGACGATGGCGATGTTGCTGGGCGTCATCTTGTTGACGGCCTGCTGCTCCGACAGCAGGAACAGGAACTGGACCAGGTACCTGGACCGACAGCAGAACGTGAAACAGGAAAACCAAGAGCTGTTCCTAAAGCTTTACACCGAACACTGAGCTGGATGAGAACAACTGAAGCTAACATGCTAACGCTTACACTGTAAATATCATCCCCAACTAAATCATATTTACTCGTCGAGTTAAACTTCTGCTGGTTGTGTGTCTTCTAGATACCATGATGAGATTTACGGTTATATGACTGAACTCATCTTTCAGAGCTGAATAAATTCATATAAAACAGTTTGCAACATTTTATCTCAGTAACCCAAAGATAACATCAGTAACATGGCTTCAGGTCGGCCACCATCTTGGTTCTGGGTTGGACCAAAAACAGTCACTGAAACTTTTGTCTGCTGAATTCTACCTGAAAGTGAACCAAACTTTAATGGCCTTAATCTCAGAATACTGACTTTAATCTCAGAATACTGACTTTAATCTCAGAATACTGACTTTAATCTCAGAATACTGACTTTAATCTTCTCAGATCAAAAGTCCAAATTCTTTGTTTTCTTGGTTTTACATCTGAAGTGTGGCTGAGTGATGTAAACATCAACCAAACTGCAGTACCTCCATTCGACCCAAAGAGGGCAGCACTGAGGCAGTTTTAGACTAAATTAAACAAATTTTAACTAAAATGTCAAAAATCTGCACAGGAGCAAACCAGACAGTTAATCTGCTCAACGAGTTGATTAGGGGTTCTGTTGAGAGGTTGCTAACACTAGTTATCTTACTTGAATTGTCATTTTTACGATGATGAAACAAAATTTAGATCCCAGATAACTGCTAGTCAAAAGGAAAAGAAAACTTCCTTTACAATAAAACATCTGAACAGAATATTTCCTCAGATGTTGTTCCATATTTATATGCAACATAATGCAAACTGTTCTCAGCAGCCATTTTGAAATTCACCAGCAGTGTTATCGATGTTAGCTCGGTTCATCCGACCTTCAGAGTGAAACGGATCGCTGTCACGGGCACAGCTGAGGTTGTTGTAGTTTGTCGTAGTTTGAACAGACCTGAGGTTGTTGTAGTTTTCAGGCGGTAGTTTCTGCAGCAGCTCCCTGAACTTCTCCAGCTTCACATTCAGATCTTTTTCTCTGTGGGTTTTAAGAAACAAACTCATAAAAACTGAAAGCAGGAAGAAGAAGACATGAAGGAAGAGATGCTCACCCTGCAGCTGTAAACCAATCACTGTAGAGTTCAAAGGTCATCAGGGGTTCAGGGAGTTCCCGGAGGTAACACTTCAAGGCTCCTGTGAACAAAATCAGAGAAATGCATCATTATTTAAATCTGCTTTGCTCTGATTGGCCGACATAGTTTCATTTTCTTGTTATTCTCTGCTGGCAGCCACAGGATGTTGTAAACGACAGGAAGTGACATCAGGCGGCTGCTGGAGTCGCCGGAGGAGGAAGTGAGCCGAGGCGTACCTGCGACGGCGTGAGGGTCCATGCTGAACTCGCCGTGGTCCACCGCTCCCTGGTTCAGGCAGGTTTTCAGCCGCTTCACCACCGAGGCGGCAGCCGCCAGACGAAACAGGCCCTACCAACCAAACAACGAATTTTACTCACTCAAACCGGCTTCATATCCAGCCCCTCTGCAGAGCCACCTTTTGTTAAAAGCTGGTTATTATAATGAGTTTCTGAGGAAAGGAACCAGAACATCTGCATTTATTCAGCTGGTTGTTCTGTTTTTTTATTTTGGGGTATCAGAATAAATGAAGATGAATGTAAATACATTCTATAAATGTTTCTGCATCAGACAATTTTAGTTTCATTTCCTCGCTCTGAGCCGATTTGAGTCGCCTGGTTTAATAAAATCTTGGCGCTGAGTGAGAGTCGCTCGGTCCGCCCACCTCCTCCCTCATGGCCGTCCTCAGCAGCATGTGGATGCACTCCTGGATGGGCGCCGCGATCGCCCTGCCGCTCTGGCTCAGATGAGACAGCAGCGGCTCGCCGTAAACCTTCAGGCTGGAGAGACCCATCGCCGGATCTGCAAACAGGAAGTCACAACATGTCGGCAGGAAGTCGGACGCCCGGCGGCCAACGGGCCGTGTCCCTGGACTGGAAGCTGACTTTTTACACATTTTTACCAGAGTGGTCATCTTTCTATTATTCCTATCTCAATCTGATATGGTAGGGGCTCCCACACTTTTGTCCGCCGTTACAACCGTTTAATCCATCGTTAATGAGTCATAACTTGTTTTTCCGAGCTGCCTTTAAACACAACATGACCACTAAGACGGCGGTGCCGGTTTTACACGAAGGAGACAAGATGGAGCTGCTGTGCAGACCAGAGTGTGTAAGAAACATGGCAGCAAACCAGCAGAAAACGTTTCCCCCCAAACTGACAGAGGGCAGATAATAAAGGCCGACCAGCTGATGCTGATATAACAAGATAAGCTTGTCGATATCCACAGGTGGGCAGGAATGAGCAAAGTTTTACTGCTCTTTACTTTATTATGAACTAATCCTGGTCTTACACTGGCATACTGGAGCTACTGCAGATAGAAAACAGAAAGAATAAATTCCCATAAAAACTCTGATATTTTCTAATAAAAAACCTGAGATTCATCTCAAAATTTCGGTATTTTTCTAGCTATTTTTCAACTTTTCCTTCCTTTTTTCTGAGCTTTTTTAGCAGAAATGTAGTTTTTTCTGTCTGCGATGGCCCTAATGCAGTGTTGACTTCACCAGATTGATTTTGTATCGATAGAAATAGACGTCAGAGTTTGGAAACTTTAGATTCTTAGATTTCTGCAACACGTGAGTTAAAGTTTCTGCTGAACTTGTTTACTTGTATTTTCTACATCACTGCTGATTATTTTGTATTAATAAACAACATGGTTATTTTATTTGAAAGGTTATTTATATCAAACTAAAAGCCCGTTTACTCCGGGCCGCGGCGCTCACCTTTCTGGCTGTGGTTCTCTTTGAGCTCGCTGATGTTCCTGTCCAGGAACTCGTGGGATTTCTTGTGATAATCCGCCTGCAGCTCCAGAAGCTGCAGGAGATTAAAGCAGAGGTGAGCGGGCAGAGCGGAGTCCGTCAGGGCTGCGTGTTCGAACCACAACTCACGCGGATGAAGTAGTTCGCATAGTCATCTTCTTTAGTGGCGAAGTGGTACAGGTCCGCAGAGTACTGGTCCTACAGAGGTCAGAGGTCAACACCAGGCAGAGGGAGAGGTGGGCGACATGGGATTAAAGTTTTATCACAATATTTTGTGGAACTGGTATAAAAACTATTATAAAACACAAATCCATATGAAATCAGGCTCTTTGGGACACATATGATGTGTTTCTAAACTCCACACAGAAACTCCTTTTGATTTCACTTTAAAATGTATTTATGTCTATTGATTCTCTCATTGAACAGAAACGGGAGAATCTCGACAATACAGGCAGTTTTTCTTTAACATATAATTATTTAAAATTTATTGATAAATCCTCAACATGGCAAGGAATTTATCACGATAATCGATATGATAAATGCCCAACCCCAGAGGTACGATCGTGTTTTAGTTAGAAAAAAATGAGTCAATTTCTGCTAAAGAAATTCAGAAATTTTGAGATTAATCTCAAATTTTCTGGGTTTTTTAGGAGGACTTTTTTTTTTCTCTACAACATTAACAAACAGTAACAACAGGAAGTGACGTAATATGCGTTACCCAATCACAACACAGCAAAACCAGGCACAGATTCATTAAGGTAGATAAATCGCGGCACCTTGATGCTCTCCAGCCTCCTCCAGGCCTCTTCCACCTCCTCCCTGAGGCCGTCCTGCTTGGCCTGCGGCCCGCTGCTCGCCTGGCTCCTGTGAAAACGCAAGCAGACGCTAACATCCGGCGCCTGGCGCGTCACGTCCAGGTGCAGACAGACGGCTTCCTGGGACTCACCTGACCCGCGCGTTGTTCCAGTCTGTAGTGAGCTTCGCAAACTGCTTCTTGTTCTTCAGGATTTCAGGTAAATCCTCCTGGAGAGAAAAAATGTTCATCTTAAAAAGCAAAACTCTGCTGCAGCTAGCTGTCCAACAAATTACTGAATCTACTTATTATACAGACGGATATTTAAATATTTAAAGAGGCAGCATTATGTATTTTCCAGGCATATAGCACACGTTTTATAGAACAATCAAGTAGCTATGTTACTTTCAGTTGCTATAAAAATGCTTTATACATCAAGTATGACCTGATTTAACGCCTTGAAATTGGTCCTCTGTCTCTTTAAGAAGCTCCTGCCCTTTCTGAAGCTCGGCCTCCAGAAAGTCGTCCCAACATGGCTCCTCTATTAACCCTTTAACGTTTTTACCAGCGCTGCTCTGAGCAGCAGCTGCTGTAATGAGCTCAGCAGCTGGTTGCTAATTGCTGCTGGCTAGTCTGAAGGAGCTGAGAGGGGGAGGAGCTGCGCCTTGGAAGCGGGGCTAGGTCCACCCAGGTGTTTTAACAGGTGAATGGTTGCCATGGAGATTAAAGGATTTGAAAGAATCACAAGAACATCCCAGGATTAAAACATGAGGGAAAGATTAAGAAAGTGGATTTTACGTAAAACTGCTCCTTTAATTAATCATTTAGCCCTGCATTTTCTAAATAACGGTCCAAACTGCGTCCAGCTGAAGCCAGCCTGCTGTGGATGTTAGTGAATCAGTGAAAAGGAGAAGCTGTGAAGCTGAGCTGCATGTCGTCGTTCAGCAGCTGAACTTCTGCTCCGTCACCTCGCTCAGCTTGTTGAGCGGCTCCAGGACTTCCTTCTCCACCGTCAGCTCGAAGTCGGCCAACATGGTGGCCAGCATCTTCTCCATGAAGCAGCACATCTCCAGCACACGCCTGCAACACGCAGCACAGGGTCAACCTTTCACTGCCAGGAGCTTAGTATTCACTGCAGGCTCAAAGTAACTGGATTAATCCTGAGTTGCAGCCTTAGTTTATTACAATCTACCCTGAAGGTCTGATGAGATTTTGTGTTAAATTAAAAACATGAATAAAAGTTAATCTACTTCCTTGATCTGAGATCAGCAACTTTTATAATTCAGACGCTTTAGTGTCAGTTTAACTAAATAAAGCTGTTAGAGCCACAAATATTACATTCATTTTTAAAAATAAGACTATTTTTTAAAATCTTTTTGATAAACATCTAATACAGGACATCTGCAATATTTAAATAGTAACAATTTTATTTCTGTTTTTATGCTTTTAAATAAAGATAAAAGGTGATGGCTCCATTTTCTTCTATGGGATGTTGATGTTTCCAGCCTGATAGGAGAAATAGATCTAAATAAATATTACTGCTACATTTAGCGCCAATCTGATGTGAAAATTCAACGCAACTATCCAATGGAAAAATTTAAAAACTCATAAAACCTGAACTATATCTGTATTTAAAAACTTTTTTAGTCAAAGTTAGGAGCCACAGACTGCAGATTCATCTGCTTTTCCATCCAGAAACTAAAACCCAAACGCCTCCAAGCTGGAATCCAACCATCAACCGCAGGGTTTCCCCCAGTGTGCCATAAGCCTGGCAGCCCACCAGGCTTTACTAGCCCCCCGCCAGGCTAAGCATTGCTTGTTTAAATAATCATTTAAAAAGTCGCTGACTGCAAGCGTCTCTTTTGCCCTTAGCGTTTCACTTGCAGAGCAGATTTATTCCTAAATGTTTATAGTTGACACATTTAAAGTCGGAGACCGGACCAATCACAGCGCTGGCGCCTCTGTCGCTGCTCGATCTCTGAAGTTTACCTCAGCGCGCCTCCTTTTGCCCAAACTGGACTCAGGTTGACCTGTATGGATATTTACATCAACTCCCTGTGAGGAATTATGATTCTTTGGAGAACTCCACATCAGAGTCGGAGTCTAAACCCACTGCGTTAGCTCTGGTTGTGCAGCTCTATGTGAACCGCAGGATTAACTTGTAGTTGCTTTCAGAGGAGCGCTAAGAATGATTCATCTTTGTGAACAAAGAATTATGTGTGGCGTTTACATCTCTACATGCTGCCCAGCGTGTGGCGCTGTCTGCGCTGTTTGTGTCCCTGATTGGAGCAGAATCTGACTGAGGGGCCCCATCAGCACCTCTAACAGCTTCTGTGTTAGATTTAATCTGGGAGAGAGGGAGGAGTTTAACTGTTCAACCTAAAAATCAGTTAGAGTTGCAGTTTATTAATTTGTATTTGTGAACAAACAGCTCAAACTCAAAGATTAAACTCGCAGCATCAGATTGTTGCTATGGTAACAAAACAATCTAACTGAATATTGTTCGTTGAACTTTTACAAAGTAAACTGCCAGATCCTTAAAATCTTAAATTTAAATGTTAAATAATTTAAATATTTTATGTTGAAACCATTAAATCAAATTTAGCAGCATGTTACATTTATGTATCTGTGGTTTGTGTTAAAATATTAGCATTTATGGCCCCTGAAACCCTGGGGGCCGATGGAGCCGCCAACTTAGTTTGGATTAAACAGAAGTGAAAATAATTGATATTCATTTTAATTGTATTGTTTGATTTGTTGTTTTTAAGACTAGTTGTGGGTTTAAATAGTTTCACTGGAGACGTTTTCCTGTAATTACCCAGTAATATTTTTACATTTCCTGTCTACTGAACACCTTTTAATACAAAACATGGCGGAGCGCCTGAGCAGGTTTTCTGGGGGAAACCGTCACCTGATGGAGGACTGAGCATCAAAGTCCTTCAGGCTCTCCGCCATGCTGATGGACAGCAGCATCAGAGGAAGTTTCTTCTGCAGAAACAGAGAAAGAAACGTCGTTTTGTCCCAGAAATCCATGAAACTCGTTCAGACACGTGTGAAAACTGGCGGCTACCATTCTCCTTTCGGCCTCCAGTCCTACAGGACTCTGCATGCAGGCCAGCAGCTTCTTATGGAGGACCTGCGCCGCCTTCTTGGCCGGCTCCACCCGCTGCTCCACCTGCATTCAACCAGAGAAACACTGCAGCGTGACCAGACAGAAAACTACCGGCAGGAAATCGAGATGGTTACAGGGCAGATTCATTTATTACAGATTGTAACATAAAATTATACAGACAATGTCCTGAAATGGAACCTTTGTGCTGTGTTTCTGGTACGGCCATAAAATTTGATGCACAAGCTAATCCCACTAACAGCGATGAGGACGGAGCATCTTCTCTGTTCCCACTGGGGGTAATTTCTGTTTCTAAACGATCTGATTGGACGCTGGAAAAGACGATTGTTGTGTTCAAGTTGTGCTAACAGCAGTTAGCCTATCAGTGAAGCTATGCTAGCCTAAGATAGCATCTCAATGCTAACATGTAGCAGAACTTTGCTGCAATCTTATGGTTGAAGAACCAGAAGATTAAAAACTAGAAATGTGTCAGATGTTCAGATCATATCTGTATTTATTCAATAATTTAACAGCAAAAAGAGATTTTGAATTGAAAATGTTGCTAATTTATTGATTAAAATGTAATCAATTAATTACAAAACTTGCTACAAGTTTTCAGAGCCATAAAACCTGCAAATATGAAGAGAATGAAACTGAATAAATCCCATCTGACCTTTGTTTTCAAAGCAGATTTGAAATCGGCCTGTTAAAGCCACAGCTCTGCTAAAAGAGGAAGCGAGACCCATATATGGACGACGCCTATGGATCTGCAGCGTTTCCACCTCCTGCTGCTGTTCTCATTAACTGATAACAGTGAGCATCTTTAGAGGAAGTCCGTTTAGGAAAAGCATTTTGGTGAATCTTAGATTGAAGGGACGGAGGCCCAAGCCCTGTGCTACATGTAGCAGCGATAGCTGGGGCAGGAAGTTCACAGCCAGACGTGGCAGATGGATCCCTCCTCTTATTACAAAATGTCTCCAGGTTAGGATCAATTAATCCCTTTCCCCTCCAAACAATCCCCCGGGATCCACAGCATGATAATCAGCTTTCTTTGTGTCTGAGCCAAATGAAGGAGAGTTTTTACACCTCCTGCTGTGTTTCGGCTTGCAGACCCAGGCAGGTCCGTTATTTTGCTGCGTTCACCAAAAAAATCTGATCTGTCACTTCCAAATGTAGAACTAAATCGGATACAATGGGAAGAATTAATGCATTAGAGTACAAATTAAGTAAATTATAATGATATTTTTGTATTTCAAATGATAATTTTCCACCATGTGAGAAACAAACAGACTCAGAGAGGGTGCTGGTTTGTTAGGTCTCCAAGCTCCTGATGCCATGAAAATCTCCACATTGTGAATCCGAAGTACAGCTGGTTGAACCGAGTTTAGTTAGCAGTGAATTCAGCGGTAAACCGACTCAACCAGCGATAAAGTCAGAGGAAGTTCACGTTTCTCTCACCTGCACCAGATCCTCATGTAGAAGATCAGTGGCATCCTGCGACCTAAGAGGGATTAAAGTTTACAGATTATTACAAAACAAGAATCAGCAAAGAACATTTGATTTACCAGCAGTGATGAGCTGCAGGGTTTTTAAAATGTGGCTCAGAAAGAAAATATTGATCATAAATTCATGTCTGCAGCTTTAACTTGAAGAACAGCCAATCAGATTTGAACGGCTGGCCGGATTAACAGGAGATGAAAGAGAATCCAGGAGATTAGAAATCATAAACAAAGGGATTAAAAGAACTAAAAGGAAAAAATCTGACTTTTATCTCCGAATTATGAGGAAGAAAAAAATCTAAATTTTGAGAAATAATTCTGAGATTAAAGTTATAATTCTAATTTTAAAAATCAGAATAATTTTTAATAGTCGCCTGATCCCCTTCTGTATAATCATAATAATCAGACCTAACTGGAGATTTTCTATTGCATTTTATCAAGACAAACAAAAAAAGATGCATGACGGTGAAGTTTGTGTGTAATTTTCAGTTTTTAGTCATGAATTTGTTGCTTAGTTTCAGCAGGAGAAAACGTCGGGAACTGGCCGGCAGACTTGGGTTTGGTTCAGGCGGTTCTGGTTCCAATTAGAGACTCTCACACCTGGATCCGTTTAGCATCAGCAATAAGAACGTTAACGGGTCTGAGAGATTTTACCTCCAGCCAAAACAAAAACAAACATGGAATAAAGACGGATCCAGGAGCTAGTTTCATCCAAAACGTATTTTCATGTTATCACAGTAATTCAGCGTGTGTGTGTGTGTGTGTGTGTGTGTGTGTGTGTTTGTTTGTAATATCTTCTGGGGACAATTTTCCTGACATATACTACGTTGTGGGGACCAATTGCTCCTGGTGGGGACCGGAGCCTGGTCCCCACGAGGGGAAACCCTGTTTTTGGGTCAGGGGTCAGAGTTAGGGCTAAGGTATGAATTGAGTTTTGGTTGGTTAGGGTTAGGAAAAGGGTAAAGGTCAGGTTTAGGCTGTAGAAATGAATGGAAGTCAATGGAACGTCCCCACAAAGATAGCAACACAAACGTGTGTGTGTGTGTGTGTGTGTGTCTGTAGGTGTGTGTGTGTGTGTGTGTGTGTGTGTGTGTGTGTGTGTGGTTCTGGAGGTGTTGAGGTCGACGCAGTGACAGAATGATGATGATTTTAGTGGTGAATCACACAAAATACAAATACAAGGCAGCACAGGTGAGCAGAGGAAAAGACTCTCACTGGTAGCCACTGGTAGCTACTGGTAGCCACTGGTAGCCACTGGTTACACTGGTAGCCACTGGTTACACTGGTAGCCACTGGTAGCCACTGGTAGCCACTGGTTACACTGGTAGCCACTGGTAGCTAC